AACAGATTTTGCATGGCTTGTTCCTAGCATTTTCCTCTGATCGTTATCATGTTTTGCTCAAGTTTCATTGTATTTTCCAATGCATCCTCTTCGTGGGTTTTCAATATGTTTTGTCCAGCATTTTTTTACTACATGTTTCCTATCATTTTCACCTCTTTCCTCCATAGGTTTTTGCACCATTTCCTCTGGTTTCCTGCATTTTCATACCTTTTCAATATTAATATTAATCCAAAAGTTTTACCTGACTCCTTCATTTTCCGATCCTTTTTGCACCATTTCCTCTCGTTGTTATCACATTTTCCTGCACTTTCACTGTATTTTTCCAGCATGTTTACTGCATCGTCATGGTTTGCGCCTAGCATTCGCTCCGGTTTCCTCCATTTTCCAAGGGATTTTCCATGGTTTGTTCCTAGCATTCGCTCCGTTTTCGTCCGTTTTCCAGGCGATTTTGTACGATTTCCTCTGATCATTATCATGTTTTCCTGCAGTTTCATTGTATTTTCCAATACATCCTCATGGTCTCTCCGGCCACCAAAAAGGCGGACCTAGGGGGAATCGATACCCCACCGTCAGCAAATTACCTAGTGGTACATAATCCAGCAAAATGCTCCGTTTTCTGGCGCTCAACACAGGGGCACGGCGAGATTTCGTTCCCTTTCGGCAACCCCCCCCACACCCCCTATTCTCACTTCGTTCGCAAACAGCAACTAGCCAGCTAGCTGGCTTTCGTAATATACACGGCAATATCATCCCGAAGTTGATACAATTAGGATTTTCAAAACTATTTCCCCAGATAGCTGGACGCTATAGCGGTTCTTAATTCTCAAAGGTCAGGTCTTCGATGGCGAACTTTGTAGTCTGGCAAAGGTGCTGTACAGGCTGCTGTGCAGGCTGCTGTGCAGGCTGGCGAGGTCTGGCAAAGATGCTGCGAAAAGTTCTGTGCAGGCAGCTGTGGGTGTTGTGAGGCTGCTGCTCACAGTGTGGTGGCAAAGAGAGTGTGGTGGCGAGGTCTGGCAAAGGTGCTGTGCAGGGTGCGGTGCAGGGTGCTGTCCAAAAAGCGGTGGCCAGGGTGCTGTGCAGGCTACTGTCCACACTGCGGTGGAAAAATCTGGCAAAGGTGCTGTGCAGGGTGCGGTGCAGGCTGCCGTCCACATTGCCAGGGCATTGGGTTGCAATGGATTGTGTTGGGCACGAAACTCGATTGTGCATCTTGAAGTTTCAACGTTGCCACCCGATTGGGATGAAGTCAGTTCCGGCCGGAAATCAATTTGTTCATGGTTTGACTAGATGTTTTTGGGTTTTGGAAACAATATTTTAGCTGTGTGGCCAGCTGTCACAACATAACATAATAAGGATAGAAAACGATGGCTGCTGCTGTTGGCTCTTGGAAGCACATGTTCCCAGTTCTAGGAACTACCGTTTTTCAAACGTTGGAACCCATGCTTCCCAATCTTGGAACCGTATGTTCCCAATTCAAAAAATTGCCGGTTTCCAAAGTCCCAAGTTTGGCACTATAAGGTTCCAGTTTTAAGAGTTACCGGTTCCGAAACGCGGGAACGAATGCTCCCAATTCGAGGAACCGCTGGTCTCCAAAGATTGGAACCAATTCTCCCAAGTTGGAATGGGTTCCAAGTTCCAGGGAATGCCGGTTCTCAAAAATTGAAATTATGTCCTGCAACTTGAAAACTTCGCAGTCCTATTGGCAAGAATTATGAATTCCCAAGGGTTGAAAGCTATGTTTCCGACTTTTGACACGAGTTTCATTTCGAAGAACTGCCTTTGAAAAGGTTGTAACCTTGGCATCCGGTTGAACATAAACCTCTGCAATAAGCCTTTGTTGTTTTGCTTAATGGTCCGCCAAAAGATGTTTATACATGTACTTCGTTTTTTACCGAATGCACATGTGAAAGATGCTGCGTGAAAAAACGGCCATTGTTTTGTTTCATGGGCCGTTATCAAAAAAGGCACTTGTGGATAACAAGAGTTGCAAATTGGACCGACGTGAAAAGCATGTCCTATAAAATAATTGCGTTGATTTGCTTTTTGGTCCGGTACCACCGATGCGTTCGCAATCGACATGCTTATAAGATCGACGGCAAAAAGAAGGCGCGTGATTGAACAAAACATATTGGCCAATCACGTAAGAATTTATTTGAAAAATATGTTCTTTTAAAAAAACGTGTCACATGTGCTCACTAGCCCGACATCCAAAAACCAAAAAATATGCATCATAGAACGAACTAAAAAATATTGCTTTGTAAAACTGCGGTTCCCAGGAGTTAGAAGTCATTGGCGCATGGGTTCCCAGTTCGAGGAACTGCTGGTTCGAACCAATGCTTCCCAATCTTGGAACCACGGCCGCCCAGTTCGAGGAACTGCTGGCTCCCAAAGGTTCGAATCAATGCTTCCCAGTCTTCGAACCACGGTTTCCCAGTTCTACTGTACGAGCTAGCCGTTCCCAAACGTTGGAACCAATGCTTCCCAATCTTGGAACCACGGCCGCCCAGTTCGAGGAATTGCTGGCTCCCAAAGGTCCGAATCAATGCTTCCCAGTCTTGGAACCACGGTTTCCCAGTTCTACTGTAGGAGCTAGCCGTTCCCAAACGTTGGAACCAATGCTTCACAATCTTGGTAACCACAGGTTCCCAGCTCGAGGAACTGCTGGTTCCCAAAGGTTCGAATGAATGCTTCCCAGTCTTGGAACCACGGGTTTCCAGCTCGAGCAACTGATGATGGTCCCCACAAGAACCAATGCTTCACAATCTTGGGACCACGGGTTCTCAGTTCGAGGAGAACCACGGGTTCTCAGTTCGAGGAGAACCACGGGCTCACAGCTCGAGGAGCTGATGTTCCACATGTTGGAACCAATGCTCCCCAAGCTTGGAACTACGGGTTTCGAGTTGGAATTGCCACTTGTTTCCAAGCTTGGAACCATGGGGTCCGAGTTCCATGAAGCCTTTACTTAACCTGCGAGAGTTACATTTTTCCAGGTTTGTAAACTATGCTTCGCAACGTGACATGTGTTTGATTTTCGATACCTTTTCAGAAAAGGTTTGATGTTTCCAGCTCAAAGCGGTTTGAGTGTTTGAGATTGGGTTGGAGGGGGTCTGAGAGTGCGCATCAGCTCCGAGACTGGTGGTGGTGGAGCGTTCAAGTTGCTTGCAAGTGACTGACCCAATCCTATGGCAGGTGCCTTCCCAGGCAGGGGGATGCGGCTCTCCAACGCCGCTTGCCTCTCTGAGATCTGTGACAACTGCTCGGTGATCTTGGGAAGGGTCGACAAAAGGCCCTGCATGTCTGATGCCAGTGACGCCGTTGGTCGCTTGGGCTTTGGTCCACCTCCTGTAGGCGTAGCCTTTGCGGCAGCTTTTCTTCTTGGCAGCTTGGGAACGCGAGGGGGAGACTCCTCCTCCTCGAGCTCTTCGGGCGTGTAGTAGCCTGCTCGTGACTCGAGTGAGCTTGCTGCCCATGCATGGATCTTTGGCAAAAGCGCATCGATGGCTGGAAAGGCATACGGGGAATCCTCGTCGAAGTTGTAGACGAGGTCCTCGTGCTGTTGAAACTCTCTCATTTGGAGCAGGACATCTACTGTGCAATCGATGATCATAGCATCCACTGTTGTACCTGTCGGTGAAACTATACCTCCTTCGAAGATGACAGCTGGTGCGTTGACCAAAACTGACGGTCCAAAAATCCCGTCTTCTCCAGAGTTTCCATGATCTATGACAGCTTGAGGAAGGAAAACTGAAGGCAAAGCTAAAAGAAGACCTCCCATGATTGGCAAGACTGTGGCCTCTGCCTCCCCGTCCAACTCCTCACCAAGCGGCCAGCCCAGCACGTAGGGCTGGATGGCATCTATAGCAAACACCAAGCTGTCCAGGGTCAGACCTGTGTCTAGGCTGTCCATGTTCATGGTCTTGATTGGAACTCCTCAATGCCAGCCCCTGCAAAGTATATACGGGACTCCAGCTCCGATGGGAAGCCATGTGTGATGCTGCTGGATGTAGTGAGATCTCCAACGATCTCCCAGTAGGTCCCAGCAGACAGGCAAAGGGTCGGGGCTGAAATGTAGAATCTTGGCCGCAAATCCAGCTGGGGCGTCCTGTTTGGAGAACGCACACGGCCAGCAACCACAGCCTGGGCCCACTGGCCTGCTTTCCACGCCCTTTTAATCCTCTCCTCGCCTGTCTGAGAAGATCCTGTGAGCTTGGCTGCGTTCTGGAGGAAACGTCTCGGGCCGCCGACAAAAGTGGCCTCAATCTCTGCTCTGGTCTCCTGCCTTGGAGGGATCTGACGAACTGGTTCAGGCTCGCCCTGAGAAGACACCAAATCAAAAGACTGATCAGAAGCTGTGGGAGAGCCTGTTCTAGGCAGATTGCTACCCAAACTAAGAACCTGTTGCAGCAGAGCAGTAGCTGAAAGGGATGGACCACTGATGGTAACTCGCAGTTCCCCAAATTGCAAACGAGCTCAACGCTGTCTGCGCCGTTGGTGCTGCTGGGCATTCACGTGCCCGGCAAGAGCCGAGTATCTGTTGATGGGTGATGGCTGAGCAGCAGCAGGGGCAGTGACAGATGAGACGGAAGAGGGATCGAGGGATGTCCAAAGGAGCCAGCCAATGATGGAGGCAAGGGCAAACCCAGAGAAAAGTCCAACCAAGAAGGTAAGGATGATTCCAGCCCAAGAAGGTTCCACACAGTAAACAGGGCAGCCCCAACCAAAGTAGTTTGTCCTTGCACCCTGAAGCACGAACTGGACAATCCTGAGAAGACCTTCGAGCATCAGGAGCTTGAGAGTGCAATTCTGGTTTCATGTTTGTGGTCATTTGTATATATATATATGCATATTCAGTACATGTAGATGTGTGTATGTATGCGTATGTGTATTTATGTACATGTTAGTATACTGTATATCTGTCTGACTGTATGTCTTTATAGCTTCAGTAATATGTTCTATCTACTCCTTCATAACCGTTGATCTGAAAATTCTGAGGTCCTCGAACTCTTTTTTTCAGAGTCGCTGTCCAGAAGTGCTTCATCCAGAGCAGGTAAAGCACCTCACTTTACCGTGCTTCGACCGAAAATCCTTCGACTCAAACCCTTCAACTCAGGAGCGAACCGTTCAACTCCGTGGGAGTGAAGTCAAGTCGGAATTCATGGCGCTTCAGAGTGGCCCGGACTCGATGCAAAAATCCAAACCTGGTTATTACCACGGATGCCACTGATACCCTCTGGTAATGACTAACATAGCCATTAAAAATGGCCATAGAAATAGTGGATTTACTGATTTACCCATAAAAAATGGTGATTTTCCATAGCTTTTTGTATGTTTACCAGAGGGTATCATTTGAATTTTTCCGGTATCATCCCATCCCCCTGCCTCGCTTTTGATTGTTTATTGCTCCGATGGTTTATTGCTGAAGGTGTGATTCGCACAAACCATACCGTATGTTTCAACACAGAAGCAGCCGGACTTTGTCAGAACATGGCTGGGATCGACACATTCCCCAGGAATTGCAGGCAATCTCTTGCCAGTCACGTTCCTGCAGCCGGTCAGACTGGACCCAGCTCTCAGAAAAAACGGTCACACTGGGTGTCCAACCCTCAGCATGTTGTCAATGATGACAGCATACTGGTTCACACATTCAGCCTGCCTTGGAACAAAATGAACAAAGACATTCAACAGCTGCAGCATGCTGCGGTGCTGACAATGATCGTTTGGACCAGCAACTATGATGCCTCCAAACCACAATAAAAGCATCAAGAGTTGACCCAAATGCTGAATTTTGAAGGACCAATGACCAACCTTTCGCTGACGGCCAAACCTCAAAGTAATTCCATCTGAATGCAATTAGGGTTGGAAAGCCTGGACCCTGCCAAATTGAATTTATTGAATTTGCCTATGGAATCGCACGAGAATATGCCTATGGAATTACACTATTCTAGACATTTGTGGTTTGATGGTATGCTCGGAGTCGCTCCAGTTGGGTATTTCCACCAGACATCCCAGTCCAGGGCAATTATGGCATCCAATATTGCGAGACACTAGAACCTTATGTCCCAAATTATATCCGATCATATCCTCATTATTGGTTTTATACCCTCAATAAACATCCCAAGTATACCCATTTTATTGTTGGATTGTCACCTACAATAGATATACCCTCGGAAGACTAGTTTCCATTAAAAAATGCTATTTCCAGTGTCTATCTATGTCAATTTACCAGAAAAAAAACTAAAAAACATGGTCTTCTATGACCTGGCAGTCTGCTGAACTCTCCCACAACTCTTCCACAGCCCTGAACAAGCTCGACAAGCATCGTCTCTGCACAGATCACCAGTTTCCACAGGGACACCATGGCAAAACCGTAGGGACACTCCTAGTAAAACTGTAAAGCAGCATCTTTGAACAGTGGCACTCTTGTTGCAATCCATTTTCCCGGTACTGAAAAACTCCCCAGTCGCAACAACAAAAAAATTGGTTGAAATGCGACAGTTGAAAGTACTGGATCCATTTCGACTTCGCAAAGACGGCGCAACGCGGCGACTGTCCTCCATTCCTGCTTTCCAATTGGCTTGGAAGCTTCGTTGATACACCAGGGGCTTGGCACCATGAAACCTGCAAGCTAATGGATGGTTTTGGGCATTATATCATCCGAAGAATTGGCTTGGAAATTACAATAGATTATTAGTAGTAGTATGACCATCATTGTGATGATAAGAATATTATCAGTATCATCAGTTATGATCATCATCAGAATAATGAATATTGTTATTAGCTATCAAACCTGCAAGAGTGGCAGCAAGAAATTCTCTCAGAACTGATGAGTAAAGAATGCAAAAAGCGACATAGTTTCAGCCACAGGAGCGCACCAGTCAGCCTCTGATGTCAAAGCTTGCCATAAACCGACCCTCAAACAGGCAATGTCGCACTCAGTTCTGTGGTGTGCTAATGGTGACCTTCAGGATTTTTCCCAGGCTAGCCCTGAAAAAAACAAAGACTTCAATGTGGTCTGGTCCGGGTTGAGTAACGTCTAGTGCTGCCTTTCTACACTTGTTCCTCAACTGTCCCCAAGGAAGGCACCAGTCCAGGGTTGGCTCCTGAATCTCGGTGCAGCTCAGCTCTGGGTCATCGTAAAAGGCAGGCAGCCTGGCGGTAAACCATGGGAAGCCCAAGAAGTACAGACTTGTTTGGGTGGTTTTTTCTAGCCCATAATAGCCCCACAATGTTATTGTTTCATCATTTTTAGATTTTTAGATGGCTTTATATTGGGTTTAGCACAGTGCAAAGTTCTAGCGAAATTGTAGACAGTGTGTCTATTCTATATAGTTTGTGTACAAGTTAGTACTGTTGTCGCTGATGCGTGCCATGCAAAGAGATGCAGATGAAAACGTGGCGCTCCCAGCCAGTCCACACTGTCCACACGACCTGATGCTATCAAGCGCAGCCAGCACCGGCCAGCGGCTCCCCAGCATGAGTTCAATGGTCACACGTGTGCTTCGGAAGGTTTCCTGAATCACCTGCGGCAAGGCGATCCAAGGTTTGAAGGAAGTGATGTTTTCCAAAAACCTCGCTTGGACTTTATGAAAGGGATGTAACATGTAGCCCAAAATCTCCCAAAAAAAGGCATCTGCAGCATCCCATTCATAGTAATCAAGTGAATTCAAGTGAATTCAAGTGAGCACCGCTTGGTCAACTGGTCGCCTGTGACAGGACTTCAATCTCCAGCATCTCGCAGAGTTCGCCCTCACTGCAGTGGCCAAAACCTGGCCGTGGGAGGCCGGGCTCAGAATGTGTTCCGCTGTAGAAATGTATAGAAGCCCAAGTCCCAATGTTATCATACATCATTGATACATCATACCTGATTTGACCCTTCACTACTTGACAACTATTCAAAATGTCATTCAAGATTGCCCTTCTTGGGAGCTGTCTATTGTGAGACTCACTTCACAACGAGCCGTCACTGCACTTTGGGGTTGCTGTTGCTCCTAGGATCCTGACGAACTGCAGCCGCAAACAGCACTCCAAGGAAACACCTTAGGAGAAAAACTGAAGAAAAAAAAAAGGTCTAAGAGATTCTAAGAGATTCTAAGAGTCTAAGTCATACAGTAGACTTCAGTAGACTTCCCCCAAGATCTCTCAAGGACGCTTTCTCAGCAAGATACGGAGGCAGTCGCTGATCCACCAGGATTTCATAGGCCTGGTGGGTGAGTTGGCACCAGCTTTCCTGTACCCAGCCTTTGATGCTCATTGTCATGTGTCAACAGAAATGTTGAAGTTATGTCAAAACACGAATTCAACCCTATAACCAATCCCCGAACCATTAACCCCATGCTGGTCTGCACAGAAGCCTTCGAAAAATCGATTTTCTGCAGCTGTTCAGCAACCAGATTGCGCCACACAGGCACTGCAAAACTCTCTTCCACCTGAATTCATGGGCGCCACGGGTGAGCCAAAGCTGCCCTACACCTGGGACCTAAATCCACCGAAACATCAGCTGAAACACAGGTTTTTGTGGCCGCAGTGGGAAAAGTGGCTTCAAAATTTTGGTGCCCACCCACCTGGAGCCGCAAATGTCTCCAATCTACTGTGGAATCTCTTGGTTCCCAGTCCTTCCAACCTCAAGTGGATAGGGATTCAGCCAACCCTTACACCGCAACAAGTGGACGGGACGATGCAATGACAGAATCAAACTGAACTCTGAAAAAAAAAATGCGATTGGAAGTGCCAGACAGTCATAGTCGGGAAAACTCCTCAAGTCTCAAAATCAGCGTCTGTGCATTTGTGCATGACAATTCCAGGAAATATTTGAGCGTATTGGACGGGAAGGGTGTGATCGAATCACTGCGAGGCGCAAAGGTTTCAAACAATTTTCAGAGTCAGTCCCTTGTACAGTGCCGACCAAGATTCGTTGTCCACTTAGGCAATTCTCCATCAAAGTCCTTGCGTTCTCTGCGAATGGAAATGCCAAGAATTCAAGCCACGCAGCAGGGCTAGACACTGAATTTGCTGCAGTTTTCCAGAAAAATGATGATTGTCAAGGGGAATTAGACATGTTTTGGTTCATTTTCAAACAAACCCAGATGCAGTTACACAGCTGGCACTGCGACACGGACCCAGTATCCAACGGACTGAACCACCTGGGTGGAAGTCGAAACGCCGACAAGAGTGTTGATTTCTGCAAGTGCAATTTTGGACAAACACATATCCATCTGATGTGCTTTTGATGCCATGGCCATGCATTTTCAAGTATTCACACGATCCAACAAATTCCACCCCGGGGCCTGCAGAAAAAGTACAAGGAGCTGTTGGCGTCCTGAAGCTGCAAATTTTGTAACAAGAAATCCGGATCGCCTTCCACGGTTGCATCCTCGTTTTTGTGCAATTGAGAGCATTTATGTTACAATTCGATAAAAAATTGTTGACCAGTTGACCAAAACTATTTGAGCACGACATGTTCCGGACTGGGTCGGACCTGAACGGCGGTGCATCCATTGCATCTAATCGTCGCAGTGGCACGAATCCTCAACAAGCATCAGGAGTCATGCGGATCACAACGAGTTTGTGACATGGAAAATTCATGACAAACGGATTGACGAATGTGGCACGTGAGTCATTCAGGTCGCACCCCGTTGCAAGCAAATCACATATGTACTGCATATAGATCAGTGACCTGCAATTTAAAATAAGCCAGCGCACTGTTGTGTCAAATAGGGATTACATCAGGAATTACGTTTTTCGCATTTCATATCAGTTTGGTAAATTTGTGTTGCCATGTCGTAAGGTCCGTACAGGCCACTGTTTCCCATCAGCATGTCCTGGCAAGTGTGGCAAACCAACGAAATTGGATTCCAGGAACCGCATTGATTTTCAGCAAAAAATGTACGCGAAATAACGAAAATGTTAGCACGAGACAAAGTTATCGTTTCAACATTCTTGGTTTTCAGATCGCAGGTCAACTTGGCTAGGAAACCACCTTCCCATTTGAACCCCCCTGTTTTTTCCCGGGTAGTGTTCAGCATTGAAAAACAAAAAATGCACAATAAACAACCCTTAATCTAATCATGGACTGTGAAAAACGTGGATATGCATAGTATACATTTTTACATTTACAATTGATTTGTATACATGTACACAATTATATATAAATATATTTATGTACATATGTTTCATCTTATTTATTAGTTGCTTATCTAGATATTTATATATATATATAGTTATATGTGAAAATTATGCTTTTATGTATTTACGTTATATCATTCTGTACTGTATAGATACAAAAACAGAGATGCGTACATAGATAGATAGATAGATAGATAGATCGATCGATCGATAGATCGATAGATCGATAGATAGATACATAGATACATAGATACATAGATACATAGATACATAGATACATAGATACATAGATACATAGATACATAGATACATAGATACATAAATACATAGATAGATACATAAATACATAAATACATAAATACATAAATACATAAATACATAAATACATAAATACATAAATACATAAATACATAAATACATAAATACATAAATACATAAATACATAAATACATAAATACATAAATACATAAATACATAGATACATGTCATATGAAACAGAAACATCCGCACAAACAGGTGGCACGAACTCTCACACATCCCCATCCCAAACAGTGGGTTGTCGGACCTAAAATTGTTGGTTGATTAGAGGCATACCATGGACGGTGACTGCAATCAAACCACACCTCCGTTTTTTGGCGCGCAGCATGCGAACAAATGACATCGTGTTAGCCACCCAACGTTAATGACATTTCATGCTGCATGTTCATGTTCACTCCCAATTTTGCTCCCATCCAACATCCATGCAATTGGAATCGAACACCTGCTGCATACTGCCCCACCATGATCATTCGCTAGCCAAAATGATTCATTTCAGAAGCACAACACCTCTTGTGATAAAAATTGACCCAAAGTGACGTTCAAAAAAATCAAGAGCGGCAAAAATTCACACAAATTCCAAATCACAACGTTCAATTTTACCGGAAGGATGTTTGGTCAAGAGTGGACATGCGATTTTTTTCAAGGAACCTGTCCAACATGAAACTACATCAGCAGGCCATACAGACAAAAACGCAAATGCACAACGCAAGTTGCGGCACGTTTTTCTGAAAAGCCGCTGTTTTTTTTTGCAACGCTTTGTGCCACTGTGCATTGGTGGCAAGTCATGGTTGTTACACTGACCGAAGAAATTTAGAAGTCAAACTTCCGACAATATGGACAGATGAAAAGCAGAGATGGGAAAAGTCAGAGAGAAGAGAAGAGTAGAAGAGAGAAGATCAGAGAAGAGAAAGAGTCAGAAGAAAGAAGATGAAGGTGCGAGAAAATATAGGAAAGTCGCGAAACATCGCGTTTTTCCAATGATTAATGGTTTCGGAGGATCGAAAAGTAGGCTCGCTAAAGCGGCGGGTGCGGAGACATCTGGGGAGATGAGAGATGAAAAGTTGCACGCCGTTGTGGCGCGAAGCCAATTTCGAAGTGAAAAGATACAAAGCACCTCAGCGCCGGACCACTTTTGGAAGTTGCGATGTCGAAAAAGTGCACGCCATTGTGGCGCGAAACACATTTCGAAGTCAAAATGTACAAAACACACCAGGTCCGGACCACTTTTGGAAGTTGAGATGCACGCCGCTGTGGCGCGAAGCACGTTTCGAAGTCAGAATGTTAAAAACACTAGGGGTTCGGACCACTTTTGGACGTTCAGATGTCGTTTCGCGTGGCAGTCGCAAGGGATTGTGCATCTTCTCAAAAATGAGCAAAACGTGAGGGTTTTGTGGCATTTCCAAAGATGCATTTTCCGTGGCGGGCGCAGTACAAGAGACATCTTCATCAGAGCTGTTATGAGGTCCGGGCACTGATTTCCTGAGAGGGGTTGCATTTTGGAGCCTCAGATCTTCAGGTTTGTTGAGATGATTTTGCGTGACAAGTGCAGCACTTTGTATGACCTGGCATCACTTTTTCGTGGCAGGCGCAGTAGTTTAGACAGGTGGACTGGAAAAATCGCAAAACGCCTTGCTACGAGGCCGTCAGCGCTGCACGCAACTTTCCATTGTTGAAGGAAGTCTCGCAGAATTGCTTCGCTTTTGATATTGTCCAGATTGAAAAATGAAGAAGTCTCGCAGAATAGCTTCGTTTTCAAGTTTTCAGATAGACAGACAGCCAGACAGCCAGACAGAGAGATAGATAGATAGATAGATAGACAGATAGACAGATAGACTAGATAGATTAGATAGATTAGATAGATAGAATAGGATAGAATAGGATAGAATAGGATAGGATAGGATAGATAGATTAGTTAGTTAGTTAGTTAGTTAGTTAGTTAGTTAGTTAGTTAGTTAGTTAGTTAGTTAGTTAGTTAGTTAGTTAGTTAGTTAGTTAGTGAGTTAGGTAGTTAGTTAGTTAGGTAGTTAGTTAGTTAGTTAGTTAGTTAGTTAGTTAGTTAGTTCTCTTAGTTTTAAGAGTTGCGTTGGCAGGCAACCATTGGAAAACCAAAAAATGTTTTTTTGCAAGGTTTGTAGCGAGCGGAGGCTCAATCAAATAGTGATTTAACATTTCAGAAGAGCAAGCGGATAGCAAGAAAATAGCGAGCGAATAGTGATTTTTCCGAGGAATATTCGAAATTTCGCATTTTTTCTTTAATCCCGAACGATCCGAGCAAGGAAAATTAGCACCTTTATTGGGAAAATTGCTTTTCGCTCGCTATTCGCTTGCTTTTGCATATCATATTCAAAAAGGAAAATAGCGAGCGAAGAGTGATTTTTCCGAGGAAAATTCGAAATTTCGCATTTTTTCTTTAATCCCGAACGATCCGAGCAAAGAAAATTAGCACCTTTATTGGGAAAATTGCTTTTCGCTCGCTATTCGCTTGCTTTTGCGTATCAAATTCAAAAAGGAAAATAGCGAGCGAATAAGGATTTTTCCGACGGAAAATTCGAAATTTCGCATTTTTTCTTTAATCCCGAACGATCCGAGAAAGGAAAATTAGCACCTTTATTGGGAAAATTGCTTTTCGCTCGCTATTCGCTTGCTTTTGCGTATCAAATTCAAAAAGGAAAATAGCGAGCGAATAGTGATTTTTCCGAGGAAAATTCGAAATTTCGCTTTTTTTTTAATCCCGAACGATCCGAGCAAGAAAAATTAGCACCCTTACCGGGAATTGCTTTTCGCTCGCTATTCGCTTGCTTTCGCGTATCAAATTCAAAAAAAGAAATAGCGAGCAAATAGTGATTTTTCCGAGGAAAATTCGAAATTTCGCATTTTTTCTTTAATCCCGAACGATCCGAGCAAGGAAAATTAGCACCTTTACCGGGAAAATTGTTTTTCGCTCGCCATTCGCTTGCTTTTGCGTATCAAATTCAAAAAGGAAAATAGCGAGCGAATAGTGATTTTTCAGAGGAAAATTCGAAATTTCGAATTTTTTCTTTGGTCCCGAACAATCCGAGCAAGGAAAATTAGCACCTTTATTGGGAAAATTGCTATTCGCTTGCTTTTGCGTATCAAATGCAAAAAGGGAAATAGCGAGCGAATAGTGATTTTTCCGAGGAAAATTGGAAATTTCGCATTTTCTCTTTAATCCCGAACGATCCGAGCAAGGAAAATTAGCACCTTTATTGGGAAAATTGCTTTTCGCTCGCTATTCGCTTGCTTTCGCGTATCAAATTCAAAAAAAGAAATAGCGAGCGAATAGTGATTTTTCCGAGGAATATTCGAAATTTCGCATTTTCTCTTTAATCCCGAACGATCCGAGCAAGGAAAATTAGCACCTTTATTGGGAAAATTGCTTTTCGCTTGCTTTTGCGTATCAAATGCAAAAAGGGAAATAGCGAGCGAATAGTGATTTTTCCGAGGAAAATTCGAAATTTGGCATTTTTTCTTTAATCCCGAACGATCCGAGCAAGGAAAATTAGCACCTTTATTGGGAAAATTGCTTTTCGCTCGCTATTCGCTTGCTTTTGCGTATCAAATTCAAAAAAAGAAATAGCGAGCGAATAGTGATTTTTCCGAGGAAAATTTGAAATTTCGCATTTTTTCTTTAATCCCGAACGATCCGAGCAAGGAAACTTAAGACCTTTATTGGGAAAATTGTTTTTCGCTCGCTATTCGCTTGCTTTTGCGTATCAAATTCAAAAAAAGAAATAGCGAGCGAATAGTGATTTCTCCGAGGAATATTCGAAATTTCGCATTTTTTCTTTAATCCCGAACGATCCGAGCAAGGAAAATTAGCACCTTTATTGGGAAAATTGCTTTTCGCTCGCTATTCGCTTGCTTTTGCGTATCAAATTCAAAAAG